TTTATCATGGGGTTGTCTACGAAATTTAGCAAAATTAAACTCATGAGACATATCTCCTAAGCCAATCATAACAACATCCTTTTTGCAATCAATCCTAGCATTAACAGTATTCAAGAAGGGTCTACCAAATATAATGGGACAAAAACTATCTTGTGGGGAACCAAGAACAAGAATATCAGCAGGATATTTAACTTTCCCACACAAGACTTCAACATCTCTAACAATCCCAACTGGTGAAATAGTATCTCTATTCGCAAGCTTAATGGTAACATCGATATCTTCTATTTCAGCGGGTGCAATATCATGCATAATTTCATTATATAAGGAAATAGGTATTGCACTAGCACTAGCACCCATATCACATAAGCCATGATAACAATGATCTCCTATTTTAACAGAAATAAAAGGCATGCCTACAACAGGTCTATGTATCTTAGCATCGGGTTTAGCAATATTAGCAGCTTCCTCACAGAAAGAAATAACATGCCCATCAATATTATCAGCTAAGAGATCTTTAACCATTGCAATACTAGGTTCTACTTTAATTTGCTCAGAGGTGTATATGTTCTAGTATTACTTTTACAAACAATAGTTGAAGCTTTAGCATGATCCTTTATCCTAACAGGGAAAGGTGGTTTCTCAACATAAGTAGTAGGAACAATAGGATCACTATAAGTGATAGTCTTTTCTTCAACTGTAATAGGTGCAACTACTTTTACTTCAGTGGGAGGATTATATTTAAACCACTTCTCCTTAGGGAGATCAACATGAGTAGCAAAAGATTCACAGAAAGAAGCTACTATCTCAGAGTCAAGTCCATATTTAGTGCTAAATCCACGAAAAGCATCGGTATCCATAAAAGACTTAACACAATCAAACTTAGGTGTCATACCTGACTCCTTACCATCATCGGAACCCCAATCTTCAGAGTTGCGTTTAATTCTTTCCAATAAGTCCCACTTGAATTCAATAGTCTTCAGCATATAAGAACCAGCACAAGAAATATCAAGCATGGTGCGATCATTGAGGGAAACCCGAGCATAAATTTTTTGAATAATCATTTCTCTTGAGAGCTCGTGATTGGGGCATGAATATAACATTGACTTAAGCCTCCCCCAAGCTTGAGCGATGCTTTCTCCTTCGCGAGGCCAGAAATTATATATGTAATTACGATCACGATGAACAAGATGCATAGGATAAAACTTCTGGTGAAATTCCAATTTCAATCGTTTATAGTCCCAAGATCCCGTATCATCACATAGCCTATACCATGTCAATGCATCTCCCTTCAAAGATAGAGGGAAGACCTTCCTCTTAACAACATCATCGGGTATACCTGCAAGCTTAAATAATCCACAAACTTCATCCACATAGATAAGGTGTAAATCGGGATGCAATGTTCCATCTCCTGCAAAGGGATTAGCTAGCAGTTTCTCTATCATACTCGAAGGAATTTCAAAGTAAAAAATTTTAGTAGATTCGGTAGGTTGAGGAGCAACTCGTTGCTCTACTGGTCGGGGCGAAGATGCCCTGAACAAGCCCCTCAAAGGATTAGTTTCCATAGTAATAAGTGACAGAAAATTTCAGCACACTATATAAATGTTTCCTTACCAAGTTCCACTCACCAAAGGCGCTTCACTCCCCGGCAACGGCGCCAGAAAAGAATCTTGATGACCCACAAGTATAGGGGATCTATCGTAGTCCTTTCGATAAGTAAGAGTGTCGAACCCAACGAGGAGCAGAAGGAAATGACAAGCGGTTTTCAGCAAGGTATTCTCTGCAAGCACTGAAATTGTAGGTAATAGATAGTTTTGTGATAAGATAATTTGTAACGGGTAACAAGCAATGAAAGTAAATAAAGTGCAGCAACGTGGCTCAATCCTTTTTGTAGCAAAGGACAAGCCTAGACAATTTCTTATAATGTGAAAAGCGCTCCCGAGGACACATAGGAATTATCGTCAAGCCAGTTTCATCACGCTCATATGATTCGCGTTCGGTACTTTGATAATTTGATATGTGGGTGGACCAGTGCTTGGGTACTGCCATTTTTTGGACAAGCATCCCACTTATGATTAACCCCTATTGCAAGCATCCGCAACTACAAAAGAAGTATTAAGGTAAACCTAACAATAGCATGAAATCAGCCCCTTATGAAGCAACGCATAAACTAGGGTTTAAGCTTCTGTCACTCTAGCAACCCATCATCTACTTATTACTTCTCAATGCCTTCCTCTAGGCCCAAATAATGGTGAAGTATCATGTAGTCGACGTTCACATAACACCAAGGAGAGACAACTTACATCTCATCAAAATATCGAACGAATACCAAATTCACATGACTACTAATAGCAAGACTTCACCCATGTCCTCAGGAACAAACGTAACTACTCACAAAGCATATTCATGTTTATGATCAGAGGAGTATTAATACGCATTAAGGATCTGAACATGTGATCTTCCACCAGATAAACCAATTAGCATCAACTACAAGGAGTAATCAACACTACTAGCAACCCACAGGTACCAATTTGTGGTTTTGATACAAGATTGGATACCAGAGATGAACTAGGGTTTGAGAGGAGATGGTGCTGGTGAAGATGTTGATGGAGATTGACCCCCTCCCGATGAGAGAATCGTTGGTGATGACGATGGTGATGATTTCCCCCTCCCGAGGGAAAGTTTCCCCGGCAGAACAGCTCCGCAGGAGCCCTAGATTGGTTCCGCCAAGGTTCCGCCTCGTGGCGGCGGAGTTTCGTCCCATAAGCTTGCTTATGATTTTTTTTTCAGGGTAAAAGCCTTCATATAGCAGAAGATGGGCACCGGAGGGCCACCAGGGGGCCCACGAGGCAGGGGGGCGCCCCCCCACCCTCGTGGCCAGGGTGTGGGCCCCCTCTGGTACTTTTTTCGCTCAATAATTCTTATTAATTCCAAAAATGACTTTCGTGGAGTTTCAGGACTTTTGGAGCTGTGCAGAATAGGTTTCCAATATTTGCTCCTTTTCCAGCCAGAATTCCTGCTGCCGGCATTCTCCCTCTTCATGATAAACCTTGTAAAATAAGAGAGAATAGCCATAAGTATTGTGGCATAACGTGTAATAACAGCCCATAATGCAATAAATATCGATATAAAAGCATGATGCAAAATGGACGTATCAAAACCCTAGCCAGCACGGCCTCGTCCAAGCCGCCGTCGCCGCGGCCAGCACCGGCTCGTCGGCGTTTCCTCGGATGGTGCTGCCCGACTCGCCCCGCGCGTCGGCTTGCAACCCGATCCCCGGCTTCCACGTCTACCCGCAGGCCTCCCGCCTCTCCAGGGAGTGCTCGCCCAACGTGAGCATGGTCGCGCCTTCCACGCCCGCGCCCATCGCCTGGACAATCGAGATGCGGCCACCAATGCCTTGATCGCAAGCGTGGACGGCATGATGAATAAGAAGGAGTCAAGGGAGGAGGAGCGTCGGCGTTTCAAGGCGGAGCAAATTGACGCTTTCATGGAGATCCAAAGGAGGAGGCTTGAGCTGGATGCCGAGAAGCAAGCCAAGATGTTCGAGTTAGAGGCGGAGAAGCAAGCCAAGATGCTAGAGGTCGAGGCCGCCAACGCCAAGACCAAGGCGAAAGAAGTGGCTCTCGCGAGCATGATGACCGGGGTGGAGATCATGAAGGTGGATCTCAACACCGTGTCGCCAAGGAAGAGGCCGTGGTTCGAGAAGATGCAGGCCGACAACCTCAAGTTCGACGACGAGTGAGCTATGCGGCGAGCGCCATCTTTTTTGTATGCCGGCATGACCACGGGAGCCACGATGGCGTGGTCGAACTCAAGTCCCACCCTTTTTTGTGTGCTAGCATGTGTGCCGGCCGGCTGGCGAGTGCGCCAGCATGAACTGTGGTGATATTTTCTGAAGCCGGCATTATATGCCGCGCTGGCATGGTGCCGTCATGAGACATGGGCGCTGGCATGATCGCCCATGAGCCTTTTTTGAAAAGTTGAATGCGGACATGAAATGAGTCGGCGCGTTGGGCGCACTGCCGACCCAAATGCAAAACTGGACGGACGCCGGGCGGACGGCCGACCCAAACGGACAAAAAGCGGACAAATGCGCCGTCCGTTTCGGTCGGCCCGTTGGAGTTGCTCTTAATCTTTACTTAAACAGTCTTTTTTAGGGCTAAAAGCTGCTTAAACAGCTTTTTTTTCGAGGGTCTGCTGCTTAAACAGTTTTTTTTTTGAGACATGCTGCTTAAACAGTCTTTTTTTTTGAGTGCTTGCTGCTTAAACAGTCAGAACAGCGATTTTGTCCGCACCCACCCATCTCTTCTTGGCTGGGCCTGCGACGCAGCGGGCTGGTGGAGGAGGAAGAGGAGGGGTGGAAAAGCGCACCGCTGGGCCCCGCGCCACCGACCCGAGACTCCAAAGTGGAAAGTATGGATCGATCGGGACAGCAGCAGAAAGAAGAGAGAATCGAATCCGCACGACGCCGGCGGCGGCGATGAGACCACCACGATGTGCCTCCCTCGGGGTGGGTGCGGGAATTTTCCTCGCCTTTCCCTTCCCTTTTCGTTCAATTCTTTCCCTTTCCCCCTCCCTCCCCTGTCTCTCCCTCTCGCCCGCGCTGCTGTTTCCCTCTCCTCCGCACGCGCAAGCGCTGCCGCTCTCTCCCACCTCCGCCTCTCCGCCCCGTCCGCCCCACTCCTTGGGAGGCCCAAAGGGCGTGCCCGCCGCGCTCAACTCTCACCCCGCCAAGCGCCAGCACCTCCTTCTCCCCTGCCATTGGGAGCACCAGCGTCGGCAGCCGCCCCTGTTCCTCCCCCCCACCAACTGCGCGATCAGATCTTTCTAGAGGTACGTTTTTTAATGGCACAAATGGCTCCCTAGATCTTCTGGAATTCCCCTTTTTTTATTATTGCTGCCATGCCAAGATCTCGTGGGTTCTCCGTGGTTCTTTACTGACCAGACCAATCTCTGCGCCTCCTATTTTTTTTTTTTGTCTGTGCAGAGCCGGCGCCGGGATGGCCAAACTAATGGGCGGCTCTGCTGGCTTCCATGTGCAGGGGGCACACATGCAGGCGTCTCGCCCGCCCTCTCTCTCCTTCAGAACGTGCGCCCAGCTCGAGATCTCCAGGTGAAGTTGCAGCTCTCTTTCTCACTGCATGTTTCAACAAATGGCTTGTGAAGCTAAGCCAGTCACAAATGTTTCTGTAAGTAGTACTCCCTCCGTAAAGAAATATAAGAGCGTTTAGATCACTAAAGTAGTGATCTAAACACTCTCATATTTGTTTACAGAGGGAGTAATACAGTAATAAATACGTAATAAGCAGGTCCATGGCCTGCCGTCGTCTAAATTCTGTAAAGTATATAGGACCTGGGATCATTCAGTTTGGTGAGATATTCACTTTCTTAATTCCTCATCTTTCTTTTCTGCTGAATTTTTAAAGGCAATATTAAATTCTCTAGTGGATCCATCTAAGAAATTGGAAACCTGTTAAAACCTACCAGTTGGTTGCTATTGGTTACTTAAATCGCAAGCTTTGGTGATAAATCCTGAAATGCCGGTCTTCATTGTTTAAGCTGCTGACACCATGTTGGTTATGCTACAGATTTTGCACTATCCCTCGTTTCATGGGCGTGAAGGCTGTCAGTGCTTCCCAACAGCATATTAGGCACAGGTTCAGCTCCATCAGAGCCTCTGCCCTCCCACGCATGCAGGATGACACCACGAGATACTTCGATTTCGTGGTTATCGGCAGTGGTGTCGCTGGCCTAAGGTATGCCCTGGAAGTCTCGAAGCACGGCTCTGTTGCTATCATCACCAAAGCAGAGCCTCATGAGAGCAACACCAACTATGCGCAAGGCGGCGTCAGTGCCGTTCTGTGCCCCAAGGATTCTGTAGAAAGCCATATGCAAGACACAATTGTTGCAGGGGCTCATCTCTGCGACGAGGAGACCGTCAGGGTAAGTTTAGCCTCCGTCACAAGCGCTGTGGTTGCTTCTAGTGGATCCTTGCCTGTTATTGGTTCATAACTCTTGGTTGCTAACACCTGTGTTGTCTTCCAGATAGTATGCACAGAAGGTCCTGAGCGTGTCAAGGAGCTAATAGCCATGGGTGCTTCATTTGACCATGGTGAAGATGGCAGGCTGCACCTTGCAAGGGAAGGTGGACATTCTCACAACAGAATCGTCCATTCTGCTGATATGACTGGAAAAGAGATTGAAAGAGCTCTGCTTCAAGCGGTTGAAAATGATGAGAACATATCGGTGTTCGGCCACCACTTCGCCATTGATCTGTTGACCTGTCAGGTTGGTATTTGTGGTTTGTATGACAATCATTTGCTGATTCGATGTGTTGCCTCTTTTCGCATTTCCAAACCTTGTGTACTCTAAAGTTCTGTACAAGTCCTCAAGTTGACTGGATGCGAATTTTTGGGGATTGGTCATTTACCATTTATGGCTGAATAGAGCTATTCCCACCTTTTTCCTCAGTACTTAACAAGCAACAAAATCATGGAATGAAATAGTTAGTAGCTAAAAGAAGACTGAAGAGTCTTGTCGTTAAACTGTTCTGTTTACAGGAAACAGACTAGAAAGTGATAAGGCACCAATGATAGGTGTCCTGATGTTGTCGGCTTCCAAATGTTTGTTGATAGTGACCTCTTAAAAATGCAACCTTTAAATGTTTCAGTTAGTGCTAAATTTGCAGGTCACTTTTTTCTATTTTTACACGTGCTGGACTTTTGATTGACAAGCTGGACCTAATTTTTGCTATTATTTCCACTTTTGATTCCTTTGGTTTCAAACACATCCAACTTCATGGATTTTGTTACTCGAGTTACCCTAGGAGCCAAATAACAATTCATGTTCCATAAATGTGTGTGCTATATGTACCATGCCCAACTCGCACCTCCTATTAGAGTTTCCACACAAAGCACAGTGATTAAAATGGAGTGTTTTACTGCAGAATAATGGTGAAATCTTTTGTTACGGAGTGGATTCATTGGATACCAAAGCTCAAAAGGTACATCAACTGTATTCTTACATCCAACCTAGTATCTTTGTCTTCTACTCTTATATTGTTTATCATTTTCAATTTACTCACTTTTTCTACCAAAGATTACTTCCATTTATATCACTTGGGTCTTATCATCTTTCTTTGTATCCAGGTAGTCCGTTTCATCTCAAAAGTAACATTGCTTGCGTCCGGAGGAGCTGGCCATATATATCCCACAACAACCAATCCACCGGTATTTCAAGCACCCAGTCTTCGTTATCTTTTAATATGTTGGATTCTTTTATGCATGTTTGTTTATCTTTTGTCTCACATTACACCATATGTTTTGAATGCCGTATTAAAAGATAATTGTGACACGTCCTATGATTTGTCTTTCATATGAAATAGGTATCAAATGCTCATAACTCTCCTAATACTCATTAAATCTCAATGTTTCAGGTGGCTACTGGGGATGGAATTGCAATGTGCCATCGCGCTCAGGCTGTGATATCCAATATGGAGTGAGTTTTCCTTTACTCTAAGATATATTTAATCCCTTGTTCACTGAAGTACTCACTCATGCTTCCCTGATTAATGTTGAACCAGTAGCAACATGTTGATCTCAGTTCCTTTAATTTTTCCTTACTCAGTTTTGCAACTTTTGCTTGTATCCAAAATTCTGGAGTTACATACTAAAACATCATTATTTCGCAATGACAGGTTTGTGCAGTTCCATCCAACTGCACTATCAGACGAAGGCCTTCCAATAAAGCCAGCTAAAATAAGAGATAATGCATTTCTTGTAACAGAAGCAGTCAGAGGAGATGGAGGAATTCTTTACAACCAATCCATGGAGAGATTTATGCCTTTATACGACGACCGTGCCGAGTTGGCACCGAGGGATGTGGTTGCAAGAAGCATAGATGATCAACTGAAGAAACGTGGAGAGAAGTATGTTCTCTTGGACATCAGCCACAAGCCAAGGGAGAAAATTCTTGCTCATTTTCCGAACATTGCAGCTGAATGCCTGCGGCACGGTCTGGACATCACACAGCAGCCCATACCTGTCGTCCCTGCAGCTCATTACATGTGCGGTGGTGTTCGGGCTGGGTTGCAAGGGGAGACGAGTGTGAAAGGCTTGTATGTCGCTGGTGAGGTTGCTTGCACTGGATTGCATGGTGCTAATCGTCTTGCAAGCAACTCATTGCTGGAAGCATTGGTATTCGCTCAGAGAGCCGTGCAGCCCTCTATCGACCACATGGTGGATGCGGATGCTGACCCTTGTCTCGCGGAGAAATGGGCACGCCCTATGCTCTCTGTCTCCATTAAGGACAGTGCACTGTCTGACATCATTGAGAGGACAAAGAAGACCAGGATGGAGCTGCAATCCATAATGTGGGAGTACGTCGGTATAGTGCGGTCAACGAACCGGCTGAAGAATGCAGAATGGAAGATTGGTGATCTAGAGTCAGAGTGGGAGGAATTCTTATTCAGGAGGGGCTGGAAGCCTGCCACAGTGGGGATAGAGGCCTGCGAAATGAGGAACCTCTTCTGCTGCGCAAAGCTGGTTGTGAAGAGCGCGCTTGCGAGGCGGGAGAGCCGTGGCCTGCACTTCACTGAGGACTTCCCTTACCTGGAGGAGAGCAAGAGGAAGCCTACAGTGATCTTCCCTACTGCTATCCAAGAGCTAACATGGAGTTCAAAGCCATTGCAGAGGCAGCTGCAGTGCAAATAGTTGCCACGCCCATATCATGGAGTTTTGGGGCATGAAGATTCATTAATTTACATTAATTTATTAAAATTACTGAATTAGGCTGAAGTAGCCTTTTAATCTTGCAGTATACTAATCCAGCAAAGCTGGAGTTGTAATTGATTCTTCAGTTATAATTAGTCTGAAGTAGCCTGTTGTATCAATGTACTTGCTTATTTTACCATTCACATCAGCTTCAGGTGTTGTAACTTGTCAGGTGTGGTTGGGATCATGTTCTGATATCTCAGATGTATAGGACTGCAGATGATTTGTACTTCATTCCTACGCCCATTTAATAATACTTCCTAAATATAAGCAGCTAATATGTATATAGACGTATTCAAACTTGATACTGGTTGCTAATATGTATATAGACATATAAGCAGCTAATATGTATACAGACGCCCATTTAATAACTCCCATTCAAACTTGATATTGGCTGCTAATATGTATATAGACGTATTTTAGAGTGTAGATTCACTCATTTTGCTCTGTATGTAGTCCGTATTGGAATATTTAAAAAGGCTTATATTTAGGAACAGAGGGAGTATAAAACTATTGAAGTTGCTTAAGACCGTGTTTATCCAAAACATAGTACACTCTTGAACGACTAGGAGTACTTCAATAATATATCATTACTGGAATATGCTAGCAGCTGCTGATGATGACAGATGAAATCAAGAATATGCTAGCACCTGCAATACAAATAAAATAAATAATTCAGCATCGATACCTCCTTGCAGAGATTGAAGAACTTGACAAGTCACGCGATGTGATGTCGGGAAAGCAAAGGTTATTTCATGCAAACAGAAAAGAAAACTCTGAAAAGCTTATGACATTTTAGGAACAGTCTGTATTAAACAACCACACTTGGAAGCCCTGAAAACCTATTTAAGCATCGTGAAAGAAAACAGGTGATAAAGGATGTCCATTCATATAGCTGGCATAAGGAATAAATATAGAACTAATAAAAAAGCAACTCCAGGATAAAATGGCATATCCCTTCTACTTTTTGTCCTCTTCTTTGCTTTGTTGCTACAAGTACCCAGCCATCGACTGGTCATTTGCCTGATTATTGGCATGTCGACTGGTCATGTTGTCCTCAGTGCTCAGAGCCAGTCAGGTTTTTAACAGCGAATGCAAAACACATGCGGGAAGTATGCCAAACTTGAACTGAAATGATACATACAGGCATAAGCACTAATATGGTATCATCATCACAGCCAGGTGCTACCAGGAAGCACTCAGCTAATAATATCTTCATAGTAACAATTTGGCGCAATACTAAAGCTTCATGCTCAATGGTCAATTGTAGTGTTGGACTTCAGAAATCATTTAGGGCAGGAAAGTGAAATTGTTCTGTTCTCTATCCCTTCGAAAGAATGACCATGAGAGAATAACCATGGTAAGTAACGAGTATTTAGCACCAAGTACTCTAAATGTGTCTTTTATCTTGACAACTAAGCAATATCCGTCGATCATTTAAGTAAATGTAACAAGATCAGGCCTCACCAGTACTTGTGACCATGTCAAAGATATTGTGTTCTTCAATTACCCTTCTGCGGCCTATGACGAATGTCCTTGTTCTTCATTTCAGTAATCAATTCCTTCGCTTTCATGGAGTCACCGTGATTCAAATAACCCTCAATCATGCACATGTAAACAGTTGTATCACGTGGTACTCCCATATCGATCATCTCATTGAATTTTCCGTGTTCAATAATTACCCTTCTGCGGCCTATTTGGAATATCCTTGTTCTTCATTTTGGTAATAAAATCCTTGGCTTTCACTGAATCACCATTTTTAAAATAACCCTCAACTATGCACATGTAAACTTCTGTGTCAACTGGTACTCCCATATCAATCATCTCACGGAATTTTTCCATCGCATTATCCATCCTGCCCATCTTGCAAAATGCAGATATCACAGTTAAATAAGTGAATTCACTAGGCTTCACCCCCTGCTTCAACATATCTTCGAAGAAAAGCAGGGCCACATCCATCATTCCATGCTTAGCATATGCATTAATCAGTATGTTGAAACAATGGAGGTTGGGTACAACTCCATCTCTTGCCATCCGCTCACAGAGATCAATCATATCAATGAGGGATCCTTCTTTAGCGTACCCATGGAGCAAAATAGAGTATGAGATGACATCAGGTTTTCGTCCGTTCACGGCCATAGAATAAAATATTTTCTCAGCTTCTTTGGTTTTTCCATGCTTGCAAAGGCAGGTCATGAGTGAGTTGTAGGTAACAACGCTTGGCATAACACCTTGACTTCTCATCACTTTCAACAACCTAGCGACTTCTTTCAACTGTCCCAAAGTTGAATATCCTTGGATCAAGCTATTATATGTCACAGCATCTGGTTGGGCACCATTATGAACCATTGATCGAAGAACCACCTCTGCCTTGTCCATTGCTCTTGCTTTGCATAGCGCATTGATAATGGAGCTATATGTCACCTCAGCAGGCACAATCCCCTGTCGTATCATTTCTTGGAATAGATCGCATGCTTTGCTTACTTCACCCTCCTTAAAGAAGCCATCAATTACCATGTTGTATGACATCACGTCGGGGGAGTGGTCAGCGCCTTTTTTGGCCATCATCTGGAGCAGATCAAGCGCAAGCTGGCTCCTCCCATTGTCGCAGAAGCTCTTGAGAATCACTGAGTAGGAGATGACATTAGGCAGGTCGTTGGGCATCTTATGGAGCAGCACGTTCAGAGCCTCCTCTGTGCGCTTCATGTCACAGAGGCACTTGAACAAGCTGCTGTAGGTAATGATGTCCGTCGGGATGCCTGTCTTGAGGAGGCGGCCGAAGAAGGCAAGCCCTAGGTCTGGGCGGCATGCTCGGTGGCAACACTCAATCACTCTCCTCAGTTAACCACTAGCTTGTTTTCCCAGGTCCTACTTCACGGGATCTCCGATCACATAGGTTGCGTTACCACCATGGCAACTCATGTGGGTCTCATACCCATCTCCCTTGATGAATTATCTATCACAACACGCGACAACCCTTTTGTAAAGGGATCTGCCAGATTCTTAGCCGTTTGGACATACTCCAACGCTATCAGTCCGGAGTTTCTTAGTTTTCTGACAGCTTTTAGTCTCATTCTTATGTGTTTGTTGGACTTCATGTTGTCCTTTGAACTCTTCACCTTAGTGATGATAGTCTGATTGTCACAGTTCATAAGGATAGCCGGAACCGGTTTATCAACCAATGGCAAGTCCATCAAAAGATCTCGAAGCCATCCTGCTTCGACACCAAATGTGTCTAATGTTGTTAATTCTGCTTCCATTGTAGATCTCGTTAAGATCGTTTGCTTGCAAGACTTCCAGGAAACAGTGCCACCTCCAAGAGTAAACATATACCCAGTTGTGTCCTTCATCTCATCAGCATCAGAGATCCAATTCGCGTCACTATACCCTTCAAGTACCGACGGGTATCCAGTATAGTGAAGTCCATAGTTCATAGTACCCTTCAGATAGCGCATAACTCTTTCAACATCACGCCAATGCACATCACCCGGTTTTGAAACAAAACCGACTCAGTTTGCTCACAGCAAAGGCGATGTCAGGCCTCGTAGCGCTCGCTAGGTACATAAGTGAACCAATGATTTGAGAGTATCTTAATTGATCTATAGCCGTGCCTTTGGACTTTTGAATCAACACGCTAGGATCATATGGTGTTTGAGATGGCGTGCAGTCCGCATATCCAAAACGACTCAACACCATCTCAACATAATGGGATTGCAGAAGTGTAATCCCACCTTCATTATCTCTGAGTAGATTGATGTTCAAGATAACATCAGCCACACCAACGTCTTTCATCTCAAATTTCTGAGATAGAAACGACTTGACCTCCTCAATGACTTTGAGGTTGGTTCCGAATAACAGTATGCCATCAACATACAAGAAGAGTATAACTCCTTCGCCCCCACCATGGTGATAGTATACACATTTGTCAGCTTCATTAACAATGAAACCAACAGATGTCAGAATTGTATTAAACTTATCATGCCATTGCTTAGGTGCTTGTTTCAGGCCATACAAAGATTTTAGCAACCTACACACTTTTCCTTCCTGACCATCTATCACAAAGCCATCTGGCTGTTGCATGTAGATTTCCTCGTTTAGCTCTCCATTCATAAAATCCATCTTAACATCCATCTGGTGGACGAGAAGACCATGCGAGGCCGCCAACGAGAGTAATACTCGAATAGTGGTCAGTCTGGCCACAGGTGAATAAGTATCAAAGAAATCTTCCTCTTCTTTCTGATCATAGCCCTTGGCCACAAGCCTAGACTTGTACCTTTCAATCATACCATCGGGCCTAAGCTTCTTTTTGAACACCCATTTACAACCCAATGGTTTACAGCCATAGGGGCGTTCAGTGATTTCCCATGTCCCGTTAGCCATGATGGAGTCCATCTCGCTACGGACCGCTTCTTTCTAGTAGTCAGCATCCGGAGACGTATAAGCTTCTGAAATAGAAGTGGGAGTATCATCCACAAGGTATACAAGGAAATCATCACCAAAAGACTTTGTAGTCCTCTGTCTCTTGCCCCTACCAAGGGTTTCCTTGTCATCCTCCTCAGTATTTCCATCGTGTGTCTATTCATAATATCCCATCGGAATGGCAGGTTCAGGAGTCTCATCAGATTCTAGCCTAGAAGTGCTTTGCATATCTCTCATAGGAAAAATATCCTCAAAGAATGTAGCATCTTTAGACTTCATAATCGTACCGACCTTCACGTCAGGTACCTCAGATTTCAGTACCAGAAATCTATAGCCGATGCTATTCTTAGCGTAGCCCAAATTAACGCAGTCCACGGTCTTTGGTCCAAGCTTACGCTTTTTGGGGATTGGCACATTGACTTTCGCCAAGCAGCCCCAAGTACGTAAGTATGAGAGTGTCGTTCTTCTCTTTTCCCATTGTTCATAGGGAGTGATCTCATTGTCTTTTGTCGGAACTTTAT